AACAGACAGGCCAAAAGTTAAACTGACTGAGAGACCTGTTCTACCCAGGTCCTTATCATGGAATCAGTTAGCAGTCAAGAAATGTATAAGTTATGTTTGTAGCTTTAGTATTGTACTAGGCAAGGAAGGGAAGAGCATGTCAATGGCTGAGGCCACTGTAGAATGATAGTGATCCACCAGGTCCTCCACTCCTCATCCTCCAGGTGGGGTGCTGATGTCCTTTAGCAGGCTTTGTAATTCATTGGAGTCCATGAGTCTTCATAGGGGAAGCCGGATTGTTGTTTTTTCCTTGTTGCCTGAGTGCTGGAAGGTTTCTGACCACTGTCTTAATGAGGTGATTACCCACCCAAGACTGTGGCTGGGTCGTAACATCCTCATACTTGATATCTTGGCCAAAGATCAGGTTCAATGTATGTCCGGCTGTGTGAGTTGGACCAAAGATGACCTATGAAAGTCCTAGGGAGGCAAGTGAGGAGATTGTTTTGAGGTTTTTAAATCTTGTCAACAAGTACTGAAGTTTCCCTGTGTGACAATTCTGGGGTATCTCACCACCGCCAACAAGGTGTCAGGAAGCTCCTTTACAAATCTTTGTCTGTGGCGGTTGGTAAATTAGCATAAAATTTACATAGCTTTGGTTCTGGTTTCTACTGTCATATGAATGAATTCAAATAAAGTTGTCTTATCAGAGGTACCTCTCTTACATCTGATGTTTGCAGAGAAGATGAAAGCCGCGCCACCTGCCTAGGTCTGTGGTATACTAAGTATCCTGGGGAGGATACTACCACATGGCTTGCAGTGTCATCCAGCCACTCTCGATGCTTCAGGCTCTCTCATGTAATGCATCACTGATGAGGTCATATATAGTTAGCATCAATTTTAATTCATGCTACTTTGTGTTGTCTGTTTCTGACCCATGCCTCAGTAATAGACCTGTGCAGTATTTAGGGGTCAGATGTCTAGAATTTGATTTCTTGTTTCTGCTTCTGTTTCCTTGGACAGCTCCTCCCAATTCAAACTGGGATAGGAGAAGTAGTAGATGTTGCCATGGGATGTGCCAAGTGGAGGAATGGTAGTCTGATTTCCCAGATGTCATGGGAAAGGCAGGTTTGTTGAATATCTTTTGGAGCTCTAACCTGGCTGAGTCCTGAAAATGGGCAGAGCTGGAGCAATGTGTTCTTGGAATAGTGGTGGGTGCTCTGGAAGCATTATGGCATAACAGCAATGGAAATAGTAATAAATGACAACAATAAGGGCTGAGCCCAGTAAGTGGAAATGTCAGTGGCATCATACATCAGTTTCCTTTAAATAATCTGTCTGTTGTCATGACACCCCTGTTGCCGTTACCTGATTTGGGAGGGAGGTGGAGAAGAGTGAGGAAGAGACAAGTACGTACTTAGACAAGACTAAAAAGTAAGAGCTGAAATGTGGCTTCCTCACCAGCAGATGGCAGAGTAGCCTGGAGGAGCAGGGCTGGGGCCCGGGGCTCCTTTCTTATAGGAGAACAGAGCCCAATGGTGGCCTTGTTCCTAGTGGTGGTTATTGACTTAGAATCATAGAATATCAGGGTTGGAAGGGACCTCAGGAGGTCATCTAGTCCAACCCCCTGCTCAAAGCAGGACACATCCCCAATTAAATCATCCCAGCCAGGGCTTTGTCAAGCCTGACCTTAAAAACTTCTAAGGAAGGAGATTCCACCACCTCCCTAGGCAACGCATTCCAGTGTTTCACCACCCTCCTAGTGAAAAAGTTTTTCCTAATATCCAACCTAAATCTCCCCCACTGCAACTTGGGACCATTACTCCTTCTGCCATCTGCTACCAATGAGAACGGTCTAGAGCCATCCTCTTTGGAACCCCCTTTCAGGAAGTTGAAAGCAGCTATCAAATCCCCCCTCATTCTTCTCTTCTGTAGACTAAACATCCTCACGGCCTCACTTTGACCTTTTAAAAATTGAAAGAAGTTATCTGAAAAATTAAAAGTGACCAAAAGTCCCACTGGGGGGAGGCAGGAGAGTGGCTGGAGCAGCAGAGCCCCAGACCCTTTAAAGGCTGTTAGGATCCCCTGCTGTTTCCACTGGTGCCAGGTGCATGTAGGGCCAGCTGGACCCTGCTCCTGCTGCTAGAGCTGCATCCCCAAAGGGTGGGGGAGGAGACAGGAGCACTGGATAATCCCTCCAATGCTGAAGAAAATATTTAGCTTTTACTGGGTATCTTACACAAATGAAGATGTGCATGTGTGCTTTTGAGAGAATGATGTGTATTCACTGTTCTGAATGTTCCGTTTTGTGAGTGATGGTAGTTGAATTATTCAGAGCTGAAATAACATGAAAACCAAGCAATCCTGGACTATATTCCTCCTAGAAATATAGCTTTGAAAAGGTACATTTGTAGTTAGACTGTAAGATCTTTGGAGCAGGGCTTGTCTAGTTATGTGTTTGTACAGTACCTAGTGTGACTCAAACTCCTGTTATGATTGAGACCCCTACGCACTACTGTAATGCAAGAAAATAATCTAATAAAATGTATTATTGACTAGAGCAGAAGCAAGGCCTACAGCACTTCTGAACAGATATAGTTATCACTTGAGAAGGAGAAATCCATTGTATACATGCCTATAGTAGGTAACCTTGTGCAGAATTGGTGTACTTGTTGACCATCTTAGAAGACTCATATCTACAACATCTTTTAATTCATTCCTACGATTATTTTTAGTGTAACTCTTATATTAAGCCATAGAATTAATCAGTACTAAAATAGTTAAATGTCAACAATATTTATCAACTGGATAATGCCTTAAAGTGTGATTCTACTCCAAAGACTTACTCCAGAAGCAGCTTCAGTAGTGGGTTCCATGTTTATTAGGTCTCAATACCTGAACAAATATGCTCAGTTTACAAGTAAGAAGAATTTTTTCTACCTACCAACTCTGCAAAAATCAATTGAACTGTCACATGGATTTTTCGTCCCTTTTCACACATGAGCATCAACAGTGAAGTCTCTCGAGCCCATTTTATGTCCTCACTGACACCTGTCCACCCCAATTGCCTTGAATGGGTTTGCACTGGTGTATATGTTACCCATTTATATAGATTATGCACAAGGAGGAGGCAGATACAGCTCCCTCCTAGCTGTCTTTGCACTGTAGGATTTACAGGAATAAAATAAAGGAGTAAGCTTGTTTACCTCACTAAAATGAAATATGACAGCACACAACAGAAACAGGCTTAAGAGTAAGAAGGTGCCATTTTTACAGTGTTGATTTTCAGAGTAGAACTATACTTTAACTCACTCCTCCTTCACACCTAAAATTACTTTGATTTCTAAGTGTATTTCTAGCTTGTTTAAACAGAAAAGGCTATATATAAAATCTGGCTTCTTCTGAAATATCTGAGGCCAACTGTTTTATGATAGATATGTTAACGGACAAACCTTCAAAACTTCTAGCTGAGAAGCGGATTCATCACAAATATAGTTTCAAAGAACAATGTAGGTAAAGTACACAGAAGAGAGGACCAACATACTAATATGATACTACTGTATACTCTGTGTTAGCATGAGTCTTTACATTCATCCTTGTGTAACGAAAAGTGTATAGCTGCATTGTTCCTCCACCCCTACCCAGAGCACCAGAACAATGTTTGTAGTGGGGATGCTGAAAGACCCTAAACAAAACCGTACACCCTGTATATGATGGAAGCCTACTTCAAACCAGAGAGTGCTGCCATACGCCCAGTGCTCCTAGTTCCAGGAAAGCATTTCTGTCACCTATAAATTTCATCTTCTGAATCTCTAACCCCGAGGGGGAAAAAGCTAGCTCACAAGCTGTTAAACACTAAGCTGTGGCCAGTATCAGTTTTATTTTTTCTCAGCACTGTTTAGCCTGACACCCACTGAAATTGGCAACTGGAACAACTTGCTTGAGTTGACTCAGAGAGAGAGAGATTGATTATGCATGCACAAGTCATACATTATGTTTACACAGTTCCTTTGATCCCAAATGTTCCAAGCACACTTAATAAATTTAGACATATTTGACGCTAGTAGAAAGCAGTCACCTCCAAGGAGGGGGGCAGCAGCCAGGCCATGGCCCAGGCATTGGTCAGGGGCATAGGGAGGAGGAAAACTAATCAAATATCCCAGTACAAAACAAAACCTTTTAATAAGCATAATGGCATCACCGACACAAAAGCAGAGCTAAAACAGCACGGCGTCCTTGTGGCACCTTAGTCTCCACAAGGACTCCTCGTGGTTTTTACTGATGCAGACTAACATGGCTACAGCTCTAAAAGCGGATCTACCTATTCATGTTTAAATGTCTCCTCTGAAAAGCCACAAACCCTAAAAATTTATGTGAAATTTTCAAAAGCATCCAAGTCCCTTTTGAAAATGGAACTTAGGAGCCAGTGACTTTTGGGCATTCCTCCCCCTCCCCTTTACCTGAGGGCATGTGACACAAACAAAAAGGTAATAAAAGGAGACCAAGCACCTTGCAGCCTCAAACATTACCCACTCTTTCTCCACAGGTATATACCACAGCGGCAGGCTCCTTAGACACCAGTTAGGGAGGATCCCAAAGCACTCTACTAGCAGAGTCACAAACGGCACACAAGGGTCAAGCCCCCACATCCTGCAGCCACCTGAGCGGAAACGCTCAGCCGTTTAATGGCACAACACAAGGCAGGTGGTGAAGGCAAATAAAGGCCGTGCCCCTGCGGACTGGGCCGAAGGAAGCAAAAGGCAATTGTACAAGAAAGAGCTTAGCCGCAACGCCACAAATGGGAGGGTGGGGCACACAAATAACCAAGCACGAGAGGCAAGACGCTCCGGCACCCGTTCGCCCCCCAGCTCGCTGCCACATTGATTTAGAGGCGTTGCCAGCTCAGTGAGCGATGGGGGGCGGGGAGCTCTTCACAGACTGTCCCTTTCACGCCATGGGCCCTGCAGGGGGCTCCAGCAGCAGCAGCAGCCCCCAGCGCCCTGCCCGCAGCGGCGGGTCCCCACCTGCACAGCGGCTGGTAGTCCAGGCTCTGGGCCTCGCCGCCTGCCCGCAGCCCCGGGAGCAGGAGCAGGAGCAGCCAGGCCGGGAGGCGGGGCGCGGGGAGCCGGCGCGGGGCAGGCCCCGGGCCGCGGGCGGCGCGTCTCATGGGTGCAGCGCGGGGGCCTCAGAACGGAGCCGGAACTGGCGGGCGCCCCTGCGCCTGGGACCTGATAGAGAGGAACGGGGGGGTCATGTGATCCCCACCCCCCAGCCCGCTCATGTGACTCCCGGGTCATGTGACCAGTCATGTGCGTGACGGGCTCAGCGTGGGAGAGGGATTGTGTGTGACCCGTCCCCGGGCACCAGCTCCCCCCACAGCCCCGAGACCCCGCACAGCCCCCTACGGCGCCGGGCTAGCCGGGCCCGTTCCCCCAGTGATACCTCCCCACTCCGGACACCCTCCCCCGGGCACTCATCCCTCTCCGCACGCACTGACCCCTCCCCCGGGCACTCACTCACCCCCCCCCCGCTCCCACTGACCCCTCCCCCGGGCACTCACTCACCCCCCCCCCCGCTCCCACTGACCCCTCCCCCGGGCACTCACCCCACCCCCACCCCCCGCACCCACTGACCTCTCCTCGGCACTCACTCACCCCCCCCCGGGTACTCATCCCCCAGCACCCCACTGACCTCTCCTCTGGCACTCACTCACCCCCCCACACCCCATTGACCCCCTCCCCCGGGCACTCACCCCCCCGCACCTCACTGACCTCCCCTCTGGCACTCACTCACACCCCCCCGCACCCACTGACCCCTCCCCCTGGCACTCACCCCCCCGCACCTCTCTGACACTTCACCCGAACACTCACTCCACCCATACACCCCACTGATACCTCCACATTGATACCATGCAGTCAGCCCCCCATGCACTTCAGTGACACCTCACCCAAGCACTCAGCCCCCATTCATCCCCATGAGACCTCACCTGGGCACTCAGTCCCTCCCACACACCCCAGTGACACCTCACCTGGGCACTGAGCCCCCCATGCAGCCCAGTGACACCACACACACCCCCATACACCCCACTGACACTTCATCAGGACACTCAAGTCCCATGTACCCCATTAAAGCAACAAGGAGTCCGGTGGCACCTTAAAGACTAACAAATTTATTTGGGCATAAGCTTTCGTGGGTAAAAAAACACTTCTTCAGATGCAAGTGGTTTTTTACCCACAAAAGCTTATGCCCAAATAAATCTGTTTTTGTGGATACAGACTAACACGGCTATCCCCTGATACATGTACCCCACTGACATTTCATCTCCCCAAACACCCCAGTGACACCTCACATGAGCATTCAGCCCCCAAACACCCTAATAACACCTCACACTCAGCTCCCACACCTCAGTAAAACAGTCAGCTTCTACGCTGCCCTACATGCCCCCAATCACATGCCCTCAGTCACCATACATACACGTCTCAACAACACACACCCAGCATCTCCCAATCCTACACATACACCCACCTATTGTGCCACCACGGGGCTACCCATACACCCCAAGAGCCCCTCACATACATACTCAGTCCCTCACACACATGCACACACCATAACACCCTTGCCTTTACTCACACTCTGTTCTTTAATCATCCCACATACTCATCTGCTACTTACAACAAGCCAACAACCAACTACACATATAAACTCATCCCACAGTCCCCCAACACCTCCCCTCACAAACATCCCCAACAAACCCACATCATATCTATACACAAACACACATGTGCATTCCCTCATATACACAACCCAAAGAGTATGCATACACATACCAAACACATTGAGATCAGCTATGAGAAGTTGAATGATGGAAAATTTTAAAAAAATGTTAAGTGAGAGTTTTAATGAATCATTTATTCCTGTATAATGTTTCTCTAAACAAAAGCTCACTGTTGTCATGATTATCATTTTGTCTTTTATATTTAAGTGGCAACGGTTTGCAAACCTGTTAAAACTTCCTAAATAAATAAATTAAAAAAAGATTAAAAACAATTCACACACACATAGCAAAATTCTTCAGCACTGGAAGAGACTGAAAGCTAATCCCATATGGGTGAGACCTGCCAGCAAGTCTGTGGTTAAATGGCAGATGGAACGATTATTACTACAGCAGGAAAGCCAAGATGGTGTAGAAACAATACCTTGTTTCAAACTGTGGGAAGGAGTGGAGGCTTGCACACGGCAGCATTTTTCTCATAGGGAAGTAGAGACATCCCCTATTGCCACGTCCACTCAGTTTATCTCAGCAGAGCCAGTAGGCTCTGAACTTGCACAATCAGTTATTACCATACATATGTTAGAAACACACACACAAAAATTGGGACATACCTTATAACTCTATTGAAGTACAGTTTAAATGGAGAGCATTCTGGAGTGACAGCCAGAAAATGGAAACAAACATTTAAAGACTTATCTCTCTCAAATAGTGACAGCTGTCATTTATGGAAAGAAGTTTTGCCCAGTAGTTATCAGCACTCTCCAGTAGGAATTTAGACAAACAGAAATATAAAATGTATCAGACACATTGGTGAAAATGTTTTCTCTTTTTCTCCCACCCCACTTCTTAGCATCCTGCATCCTTTTGACCAGTGGGACTCCAAACAAGGGGCAAGATTATAATAACCTAGCTCACACTGAATAATCCATTACTCCACAAGCAGTCCTACCGGGACTACTCATGGCATAAGGCATTATTCAACATGAGTAAGAATATCACAATCTAGCCCAAGAGCAGAGTCGTAAACTGATGAAGACAGGATTAAAGGCACCCACCTCTGGTCCCACTACTGAGGGGAGAAACTGAGGCATGAAACAGCATTCCATGTATATCTGGTCAGGATCTGTGATAAAATTAAAGGGGCATACTAAAAGCAGTCAGACTTTAAATGTTATCTTCTTTGACAGTTTTCTCTTATTATAAGATTCAGTGTTGCCAACTCTCATGATTTTATTGTGAGTCTTGTGATTTTTGGTGTTTTTGTTAAAGCCCCAGGTTCTGGCGCTTTGTGATTATGTGGGACTCTCAGCTGGTTGGTTGGGTTTGTTTGTTTGATTGCTTTAAAAAAAAAACAAACAAGTTTGCAGCCAGTGTGGTTGTGGAGAAAAGATAGGAAACATGAACCCAAAGGCTCAGAAGACAAATTAAAAAAATCCAGAACCTTTTATTTTTAAGCCGATCTCATAGGGGAGGGGAGGTTCTGACTCATGATTTTTGAATGATCAGGTAATACTGAGTTTTACTTTAAGATTTTCGGCAAAGTTATGCATCTGCTATGCTGAATTCACCACAACATTAAATAAATAAATAAAATTAAATTAAAAAAACACTCTTCCTACTGCATCTCGCACTCTAAACAAAGCAGTGCAGACTTGTTATCACCTATCAATACATTCTGCGTTTATTTACCAAAACGAATAGTCATGCCAGAATTAATAGCTGTGCAGACAGACATACTGTAACTTCTAATTTGAATGATCAGATTAACTACTGTGTTTAAATTATAAAGTTGACTAGGGCCTTGAACCTGAAAAGACTTATGCATGTGCTTAACTGACTTCAGTGGAGCTAGTCACCTGCTTAACATGAAAATCAATGTGACTATTCACTTGGTTAACTTTAAGCACATGTGTAAATCTTTAGAGGCTCAGGGTCTAGGAATTTATCGCAATTCAGTTAGGTTATGTTATCTGAAAAGGACAAACCCAAAGCTGTTTTCCGATAAATTAAGGGAGTTCCCAATCCTGCCAGCTGTTTCACATACACTGACCCCTGCTCTTGCACAAAGCCCTTATGACTTCAGTGGGGCTCCTGGCAGATACAGAATTCCATGAAGAACAGCTTGCAAGATCTGGCCCTTCCTAGAAAAACAAAAAAATTGTGCCTGTACGGGTAGTGCAGTCATGTGCATCATCAGCCTACCAGCAAATCAAGGTTAAAATATAACAAGGTAGTTATAAAATTACATGAGTATTTAAATATACATTGAAATTGCTGATACCTTCAAAATCAAATTAAAAGGTATAACTGACTTCAGCTGGCTGGAATCCTATGGATAAAGGCTCTGAGCCTGCAAACAAATACATGTATGCTTAATTTTAAGCACATGGATCATTCAATATTCCCATTGAAATCTCTCTATTTTAAATCATTTTGGGGCACCCAATTAAATGGAATAATTAATTATAAATACATTTGTATAAATAATAATTAAAGCATTTACCTCTCATGAAATTGGCACTTCAGCTGTCTCTCAGGAAGTCAGAAACTATAGAAATGGTAACACATTAAAAATATTCCATAAACTTAATCTAATAGTCGCTTTTTCCTCTTCAGCAGCTGAGACATGGCATGAATGGGTTAAGTTTGGTTTTAGTCTGTCTCTAGCATCTTAGGCTCAGGTTGAAAACCTCAGGTTGTAGCTGATTCCTAGAAGACAGGATATCATAGATTATGGATGGACAAGTCCTTTGGGGTCCTTCCTCGGGTCTGGTCTCGTCTCAGATGTTATGGCCCATATCAGGCTCATCGTGCTTCATAGGTGCTGGTGTGAAGGCGCTCTCAGTCATAGTTTGCTTTGTGTTTTCTTCCAAAGTGATGTCTCAGTTCCCTGTGATGATTACATCTGGTCTGTGGCTTTTCAAAAATCAGGAAACAAAACCCCTCTCTGTTTCAAGGGGCATTTTTACTGTAAATCCTCCATGGCTCAGGAAAGTTTCTTCTCAGGTGAGGTGAGGACACTTAGTCACTAATTTTCTCAACACTTTACAATAGTAAAATAATTATTTCCAGCCTTTCTAAGGCACAGAACTGTTCATAAGATTCCTCTCTGGCCAGTCCTAGTCTCTAAAAATCACATATGCCATTGTTCACTGTCACCGTTCACTGAATCTCACCCTCTCTACCTACCTAATCGTGACACTGTTAGTCTCTCTCACTTTCTTTTGCTCACTCACGCTCTCCTTTCTCTCTCTCCCTTCTCTGGTCTCTTTCTCCCTTTCTCCCTTTAGTCTTATCTTACTTTTACTTTCCCCTTGACTTTGCTTCTCCTTCTTTGCTTTTCTATTGCTCCTGGTAATGGTATTTTTCAAAGGCAAAACCTCTGATACCTTCCCAGTCATGCCCACTTAGCCTACTTTATACTAGTTTAAAAGAAGATTATTACAAGAATGCAAACAGGGTCTGATGACCTTATTTC